TGAGGGAAAAAAAAAAAAAAAAAAATTCATTGATTGCTCCACCTTACTGAATGAGATTACCTGTTGCTATGATTACTGGTTTGAAGAGTTGAGGGGAAAAAAAAAAAAAAAAAAAAAAGAATTGGTGCATGTCGCGGAGTAAAAAGGTACAGCACTGGGACTTCCAAGGAGGTCACCCATCCGAGTACTATTTCGGACCAAAGGCGCTTAGCTTCCGGGTTCGGGATGGGTTGAGTGATTAATTAACGGATTTTGATCAAATGACTGATTAATTGCTAGATTTGATTGCTTGGTCATGTGATTGATCAATCGACTGATTAACTGGTTGATTGATTGATTCATTGATTGATTGATTGTATTTTATGTGATTGTGTGATTGAAGGATTGGATTGATTGGGTAGATTGACTGAGTGATTGATTGAGTGATTGATTGAGTGATTGATCGAGTGATTGATTGAGTGATTGGTTGAGTGATTGATCGAGTTATTGGTTGAGTGATTCGTTGAGTTATTGGTTGAGTGATTCGTTGAGTGATAGGTTGAGCGATTGAGTGATTGGTTGAGTGATTGAGGGAGTGATTGATTGGATTGAGTGGGGGTTGATTGATCGGACTGATTCGATCGGTTGATAATTGGTTGATTGATCGATACTGATCGATAAACTGATAGGCGGAATTGATTGGATTCATTGATTGCTTAATCAATTGGTTGATTGGTTGGTTGGTTGATTGATTGATTGATTGATTGATTGATTGATTGATTGATTGATTGGATTGATTCATCGATTGGTTGATTGATTGGATTGATTCATCGATTGGTTGATTGATTGATTGATTGATTGATTCATCGTTAGGCGGAATTGATTGGATTCATTGATTGCTTAATCAATTGTTTGAATGATTAATTGGATTGATTCGATTGATTGGATTGATTGATTGCTTGGTTGATTGACTGATTGATTGCATGGATTGATTGCATGGATTGATTGATTGGATGGATGGATTGGTTGATTGATTGGATGGATGGATAGACTGATTGATTGATTGGATGATTGGATGTGGATTGATTGGATTGATTGATTGATTGATTGATTGATTCATCGATTGATAGGTTCATCGAGTGATAGATTTATCGATTGATTGATTGATTGACTAATTCATCATTGATTGATTGGTTGGTTGGATGGATGGATGGATGGATGGATGGATTGATTGATCGATTGATCGATTGATCGATTGATTGATTCATCGGGTGATAGATTCATCGATGGATAGATTCATTGATTCATCGATTCATCGATTGATTGATTGATTGATTGATTGATTGATTGATTCATCGATTGATTGCCTGATTGATTGATTGATTGATTGATTGATTGATTGATTGATCGATTGAGTGGGTTGATTGATTGGATTGGTCGATTGGATTAATTTATTGGATTGGTCGATTGGATTGCGTGATCCGATTTGGTCGCAGTGAACTTGAGTGATTGATTGGGTTGACTGATTAATTGGATTGAGTGATTGATCGGATTGATTGGATTGAGTGAGTGATTAGATTGATTCGATAGAGTGATTGATTCGATAGAGTGATTGATTGGATTGATTCGATTGAGCGATTGATTAGAATGATTGATCGATTGGATTGGATTGAGTGATTGATTGGATTGATTGATTGATTCGATTGATTGATTGATTGGATTGATTGATTGATTGGATTGGATTGAGTGATTGATTGGATTGATTGATTGATTGGATTGATTGATTGATTGGATTGATTCGATTGAGTGAATGATCGGATTGAGTGATTGATTGGATCGATTCGATTGAGTGATTGATTCGATCTCCTGATTGCTTGGACTGCGTTGGATCGAGTGATTGATTCGATTGATTGTTCGATTGGTTGATTGTATCGAGTGGTTGGATTTCATGATAATTGACTGACATATTGATGCTCTCCACAAACGCACACATACATACCTGCATGTTGCCTTTTGATAAGTTTCTGTTTAGCAGTCTGACGTGAACTGGAAAAGGACTAAAACAGGGAGAGAGTCATCGAGGGAAAAAGCTATATATTGGAATGGTCCCGGGTGGCCAGCCCGTGCAAGGACCAGGGAAGGTCCCAGCCAAAAAAAAGTAAGAAAATAAAAATCCGAAAAAACTATGTTATGCAGAAAAAGAAACTGAACAACTTTTGCCTCAGCGTCACATCGAAATTCTTCACCAAATTTAGAATAAAAAATAAAAATTTTAAATCTTTTTTATTTTTATTTTTTTTGGCCCGGCCGGGCAAGTGACCCGGGGCCACTCTGGTAGCCTAGGTACGGAGTCGGGAAAAAAAAAAAAAAGGGGGGGGTATCAAGAATTGCACGCAAGACTCTGACGATTGGGAAAACAGATCCCGGGTCGGTCTAAAGGCAAAAAAATGTAAATCTGTTCAGTTCACCTATTCCAGGGAGGATGCACGGAGTTTGTGAAGTGTTAGTAGAACTCACTAAAAGCAAATAAAAGCGAAAAAAACTGTAAAACAAAAAAATTAAACGGAAAAAAACCCCCACAAAAAACAAAAAAAAACCAAAAAAAAACAAGCGACTGCTATCCTACCCAGGGTTGTACTGATGGGAAAGCCACCGAGACATGTTCTGCGAGAAGCACGTGGCAATCGTTCGATGCATCGATATCACGAAATCTGAAATGTGAATCAGACCCAAGTTCGGATCCAGATACAATCAGATGAGCAGAATAAATAAAATAATAAAATCATTCTGAATTAGCTGGCGCCGGTCGGTTCAATGATGATATCTCACGGCCATCGCCTTTTGCAAAAAAAAAAAAAAAAAAAAAAAAGAAAC